TTTCCGCTTCTCTCTCTCTCTCTCTCTTAGTATTTTCATTATTAAGGCATTATGAGTTTGCTGCTTTGAATGAAGTCCACAACAGCAGATTTTACTCTTTTAGTATTCTTTGTCATGAAGAAGACGACGACGCTATGCACACCATATTGCAAGCTTGGGAGGAAGAAAGCCTGGGAATTAAACGCCTGCAAAGCACAGCCCAGACTATGCTGGCAATCAAGAGAACAACTGGAAAACAGTTGCGAGACTTCGTGGCTCACGTTGCTAAACAGAAAGCCACTACTTAAAAGCAGAGAGAGCTAAAATACCATAGCAGACCATCTGAAGAGGAAAGCTCATGCTCTCAAGCCAATCTTTCTGCGTAAGTATGTGTCAACGACGTCCCGCGCAGAAGATTACCACGGCCCATGTGAAGATCGAGGAGGTTAGTTTAGCCTGGTATGCACGCTGGAGAGTCTGACATAACCGGCCTCACCGGTAATGGCGTAAACGTATTTTACCCCTGCCTCACCAGCCCCCCCCACCCAAATAATAATAATTTATTGAGCTCACATATACAATTACAATAGTGTATAAATATTCATTGCTCTTCTTAAGCAATGCGTACTTCATATGTACGTAGGTGCATTTACCATTACAACAGCTACATATAAGTTAACAGTATTAATATATTCCTTGATTAAATGTTGAAATGTGGAGAAGGAGGCAGATTCATTGGAAAGCGAGGAGCCGTTTTTAGAGAAAATGTCGTTTAAATATTACTGCCAATGAAGAGGGGGAAAAGGGGGGGGGGTCCCGAAGATCAATTGCCGCAGGCCCGTGGTTTTCTCTGGGCCTGGATGACTCCGTAGTAGTTTTCGCGTAATTTCGAGTTGAAATCTACAGAATTACCGGGAGTATTAAGAATAAATTATAGCCAAGTGAACGATGTAACGTCCAAGGCACCAACACCTGAGCATGCACTGCAGCGCTCAGATTCGAATCCCATCCTAAGTATAGTTTTCCTGTAAACTTGTTTTGAAAATATAGCATAATTATGCCCTCAATTCAAAGGCCGAAAGTCATTTTCATTATTATTATTATTATTATTATTATTATTATTATTATTATTATTATTTTGGCGTTCCTCTACGTTTTGGAGTTTTTTAAGTGATGGCTGCAATTCTTTACGAATAATGCGAGTAAGCATGTACTTTTGAAGCACCACTAGTTTTTACTTTATCGCCTTACTACATACCTTCGTAGTAAACAGAATGCAAGTTATTGTAATGCTGCGCAAAAATCGGCAATTTTTCGACGCAAACACATATTGTGGGACCTAGGCATTAAAAAAAACTGGATGAATTATGTTTTTATTTGTAGAACTTCCCTCACTTGACTTGGCTTTTTCTTATTCGCTGTGTAGTCAGAATCGACATCTTGTGAGTACTTGATTCCGAAAAAAGTTGGTTGACTGCGAAACATCTGACAGTCAGTCGATGCTTATCGCCAGAGTTGAAACTTTTACGACGATTTTCTCTAAAACTGTTATTCCATGATCGTTCTAGTCGAACTCGGAAGTCGTATGAGTTTGAAAACGATATTTTGATTTTTTGGGTACTTAACACAAAACCTCAAAATTTTCGAAATTTTCTTAAAGTTTTAATTATTTTTTTCTCTCCTCGGATAGCACAAAGGACACCTTAAAAATGGCGCAAATATCATTTCAAATATTATTCAACATTCTGAATTTTTGAAAATTGCAAGAGTTTAAAATATTTTCGGCGTTTTCCTGTAAAGAATAGTTATCCCGTAATTCTGCATGAAATACAGACAATTTTGTATACATTATTTTCTCAAAATGCGGTTTCAATTTTTCCGTTAATTTTTTTCGGGTAGAGCATTAGATGCTTAAAAAAGAGACAGGAAAAAAAATTCGGCAAAGTCCATGTATTTTCGAAAATTGCGAAAAATGTACATTAAGTATTTACTAAAAATGTACTAAATGTATTAAACTACGTATGTACTAAAAATGTATTAAAAATGTACGTTTGTTGATAGAGATTTTTCCCGTAATGAAATCCATTCTTAAAAACTAGATCTCGAAATAATGTAAATGAAAAACTCTCAATATTTAAAAATAATTTTCAAGTTTTTCAATTATTGCAAATGCAAATGTTCAACTTCTTTTAAAGTGTTGTTTTCGTTGCGGGTAAAGCGTTGAAACAAATCGTTGTTTCCCAGCGCTCGATTGCATAACTTTCTCGTCTCACGAACTTCGTAAGGCGAGAAAGTAAAAATTGCTACTTGAAAACCCTTTTGCAGGTTCATCTACTCTATTATTACATTTCGCAGCAGTTATAAATAATATGAGCAAGTATGTGCTGTTGAGCACTAGCACTAGTAGAAAGAAATATTCTTTTAAACAGAGCAATATTGTAAGTGCACATTTTCAGACCAATCAACAAATTGTTGATAGTATCCATTTGGATTCTGTATTCGCCGTTCTACAGATCGTGGGCGTACCTGGACCATTTGTTTACTTACACGAACAGAAGCATTACAGTGGCAGCAAGTGAAGCTACAAAACCTAGTTCAAATGGTTCAAAAATTAAATGATTGATTTATCTCTCTCCGATCAATTTTCGTAAAAATACTGTAAAGTAAATCCGTCTTCAATTGCGATATTTCAAATGTCTCGTACGAAAAGTAAACTATATCTCGATGGTGTATTGTCTTTCTCTTGATATGATCTTCTTCATCTGCGATATTGGTTTGTTTTTTCTTGCAGATCAGATTGTTCTCTAGAAGACTCGTCTAATCGTCTTATATTGATAAAGAACTTCTTTCAAATATGAATGTCATTCGAGCGAATGTTTCTGATCGAAACAGAGAATGTGTTTCTCCAAATGCTGCAGAACCAGGTTCTCTGATTTATCTTATTTTGAAAAATTGGTAATTTAAAAAAAATTGTATTATAAAACAAAGTATTAACTAAATATGTTTTCATATTTTCATTTGCAGTGGGTATTATGCCAAGAAATTATTCTGTCCTTCATTTAGCTACCGCCAAAAGACCTAACGTTTCATCCGATTACACTACTGGGGTATCCTCTGGCCCATTTTCAATGCCTTCCAATGCAATTTTATCAAAAATAAGTGGTAGAGGCAGAAATACGTCAGGCGCTCGTCAGATGCAAAATGTTCGCTATAGTTCATCCTCTGTAATACCCGGTAGTAGCTCCGGAAATTCGGGGGATTTTTGGAAATATTTTGCTGATCAGATTTCATCAAATAAGCCCACTACCAGTACCTCCAAGTCCAGTTCTTCCCTCAATGAAGCTTATCCACATTTATTCAGGTCAGCTAAAGACAAGTGAAAGATATTTTTCCAATAATTTTTAATTGTAAACTTGGATATAAAAAGAACGGTACAAAAATTTTACAGAAATATGAATAAAATTACTCCAACATCGAAAACTCTAAAAGAAACTCCCAGAAAAACTCCAAAGGCAAGTACTCGGACATCTTCAAGAACACCAAAAACTTTAAAAACAACCACATCAGATTCGTTTGAGAAGGACTCACATACTCTTGTAGGTAAGAAAGTGGTATTTTGTTAGACAAATGATTTTATGGTTTGGATAAAATACCTTAATAATTATCTGAATGTCTCTTCAGCAATATCAGAAGGAAGAGGACAGGCAAGGGGTGAGATAGGCATTGCTGCTCTTGATGTGTCATGTCCTCATTTGATATTATGCCAAATTAGTGATACACAGACTTACAGTAATACTTTGATTAAAATAAATGTCCTGAATCCAGTGGAGGTTTGTACCATTTTCTCATCTTACATTAGAGCAAGGGCTGTATAGATTTCAGATACAGTTTAGATTGAGATGAGATTATAATTAAAAAGTTGAGTAATTTGACTTGTTGAAGCCTTTTCCCTCCAAGTTAGTAAACTATTGATGACATGTGGAAAAATGACAAAAATTGACTTGACAAAAATAATGCCATAATTTACTTCAGGTTGTTCTTCCCCACACTTTTTGTGAAGGCACTAACATCAGTAAATTGTATGCAAGCATTCAAGAGACATTTCCATCTGTTTCACTCACTTTGGTTCATCGGCGACATTTCAATGATGGCAAGGGTCTACAAATAATAAAAAATGTCTGTGCCAATGAATATGCATCTGTTGAATTGCTTGTCTCTCATAAGTAAGTCTAATTATCATCATTACGATTTAGCAGCAGTAAATTTGGAATAAGTGATTTGTAATTATTATTTTGAATATATTTTCCTTGTTTATGTGCAGATTTTATGCCCTATGTGCAGCAGCAGCTTTGATAAGATATGTTGAATACAAGCAATCAACAATATTTCTCCCCAAATCTCTGAAAATTGAATACCAAGGTCCTCATAATTCCACTGTAATTGGTAAGGCAAAAACTAAAAGAGAACTGTTGTTAATGTATTGAGCAATGTTTAAAAGCACTTTTCATTTAGTCTTTTGTATTATGATAAAACACAAGTCTATTTAATGATATTTTAATATTATGCTACACTTTTATTCAGCGGAGAGGGATTTGAGACAATATGCACCAAGTTTTGACTATAGGAATCCCATGGATATACTGCCCCAGACATCTTGTTTTCTCTGGATGTCCCACCTTATAATACATTGCCATGGATCCATGGGGAGGAAAATAAGGGAAATTTCCCTCCTAAAATTTTTCAGTTACTATTAATTTTAACTTGTAATGAGACTTATGAAAAATAAAAGATATCTGGTTACAACAATGTATTTGGCTGATGATAATTTCAATCGCGTAGCGATCATCCTCAGAGCTAAAACTCGAAATAAATTACATTAATACATTATTTATAATTGGTCATCAGCCAAATAAATCGTTGATATGGACAACATCTTTTATTTATCATAATAATAGAAATTATCTACCTCACCAGCGATCTAATTAATTGTAATGATACTTTTGAAAAAAATATTTTCGAATATCATTAAAACAAACAAAATTGTTATCGCCGCAAGAGTTGAGTGCAGCCTGCGACATTTTATAAAATCTGTAATATGACATGTTTAACGAATTTCCTCTCCTCAAATTCATCTCCGGATCTGCCCCTGCAATATACCTACAATTTTGATTCAAAGAAACATCATTTTGGTCATTTTCTCCAAGGAGTGGGATTTTTTTTTCATGAGAATCAACTCATAATTGATTGTTTTGTTAACATAAGTAATTCATGAGCATAAAAATTGATTTTACTTCATATTCATTCTCATTTAATAATATGTCATTGAAGATATAAAGGTCTGTCTTTTGACAGACCTTTATACCTTCAACGACTGTCAGTATTTGACATCTGTCCTATATAGTTTGACCTATAAGTTTGATCCATAGTTGGAAGCCAGTGGGGGGTCGGGGCAGGGCGGCGCAACTGGGGGTCAACAGACGTAAGGCTGGTGGAGGTGTGAGGAGAGGGTGGGCAGGTGGGAGAAGGTGGGTGCAGTTAGGTGTATTCAGATTTGGTTAATTTTAGTAGAGGTGTCAAGAGTTCAGGGAATTTGGTTAAAAAAAGCCAAATCTGTATACCCCTACCAGCACCAGCCTTTGCCTGCCCGCCCCCTCCTCAAGCCTCCGCCAACCTCAGGTCTCTCGACCCTTCGGACGTGCTGCCCTGCCCCCACCCCCACTGTCATCCAACCACTCAAAAATAAACTGCAGAAGTTTGTTTTCCGACCAAAGACTGCATGATATGATTCAGTTTGCTTACGCTTTTGCCTTTCTCATACTATATTACCTCCTGTGTATAATTTTTGTAAATAATTTCTATAATTCACATATATGTATTCCTGTAATTTTTCAGATAGCTCTGATGATGACAGCTACGCTATCGGTAATATCTTAAGCTGAAATATACTTTTGATACTGGACAACACCTTTTATTGACTTTACACGTGACAGAACCATAATTAAGTTTAGATTGAATTAGGACTTTGTAGGCTCATATTAGACTACAGCTTGGGTTCCCCACTTTTTACCTAAAAGCATTTTAATAATATTTAATCTGCTTTTGCATTCAGTCTTCAGTGGCCTTCTACGTTGCTTCTATGTATCTTTGTTGTCGAAAAGCATTCCAAGAATTTTGCAGCAGTTGGTTCTTTTAGTTTATTCTCGCCAGTTTTCAGTATTATGTCCACATTCCTACTCACACTTCTTCTTGTAAATACTATGAATTCAGATTTCATTTTAGAGATAATGAATCTGGTCAAGTTTGTCCAGTTGTAAATTTCATTAGTGTTTCTTGGACTATGTTTGTAGTTACTTTGATATTTTTTCCTCTGCACAGAAGTATAATGTCATCTGCAAAAAAGTATCTTGGTAGAGGGCTTAACTATAGTGCTAATTTTGCGTAAGAAAGAGAAGTACACAGAATACTGAACCCTTGTTTCTTTTTTAATTTTATTTTGATTTATTGAATAATTTACATTTTTACAGCGAATTTCCAATTGTTTTTGTATTTAGATGTGGATTCTGCTCATCGGCTAGAACTTGTGAAAAGTTGCACTGGTACAGTAGCTCAACATTGTCTTTTTGGAGTTTTAAACCGGTGTCGTACAAATGGAGGAATAAGGCTGCTTCGAGCTAATATCTTGGAACCTCCTTGTTCATTACAGACAATAATGTATCGCCTTGAATGTGTACAAGAACTTATTTCAAAACCAGAAATATTACATTCTCTGCAGGTAAATAACTAATGATATCTTACGATAAATATCCTACCAAAAAAAAAAGTAAGTTTCAAATAGAAAAAATTTAAAATTACTAAAAATCATCCCTCATCCACAGAAATGGAATTATAAAACTAGAGAGGATTTAGCACAACACAAGAATGGAATTATCAACAACAGATAACTGACATTAAAATTTGGCCAAGTTTTTCCTCTTTCTTTCTATTTAAATTAAAAAGTCCCAAGTAGAGACATAATTTTTATAAGATTCTATTTTCATGCAAATGTTTGAATAATTATGTGATTTGCCATAAACTATTACTTCAAATTTAATTGTAAAATCTGTAGAATTAGAAGTTAAATGTTATAGGGAAGTCAGTCAACCTTTTTAATGCAATCATGGCATATCAACCAAATTGATGTCAAAAAAATTCAAAACCAAATTGGTGTCACTGATTTGATATATATGATGAAATTATTATTGTGTCTACTGGTGGTCAAATCTTGTTTCAGATTTTTAAAATGTTAAGCTTATATTCATGTTTTTGTATGTAGATTCTTGACTGTACACTGGATTGCTTATTTCTATTCTTAGTTGTTGTGTTTTCACTTTAAAACTTTTATTTTACACTGTTCCTTTAACAAAATTTAGTTATAATTTCTACCTGAAACATATTGTGAAGCAAAGGAATCCAAGTTTAATAAATAAACTAATAAATAAATTTGCATAAACAAACAGTGTAATCAGAGGGAAGCAGTATCTGAATGATATTGTGATAGTTTCTTTTTATTCCTCATTTACCTTCAACATGAAAAACAGTCTCATACTATGAATTCTTTTTACTCTTAGGTACAATAAACTACAATGTTTTTGGGACATTCTTTGCCAAAACATCCCACAAAATATCGAAGGTTCAAAAATCATTCAAATAATCATATTTTCAGATCCAACATTATAAAAACACAAGAATTGTTTTTTCAAACTTTTTTTTTATCTAAAACTAATTCAATTTTAAACGATTTTAATAAATTTTCCGGTATTGTTGCAGTACAAAATTCCAAGATAAGACTGTGTACATAAAGTTTCGTCTAACATTTCTTTCAACCCTATCTACTGAGGTCAAGCAACAGAAAAATTGTCCAACAAAAATGTTTCATGATCCCTGCAAGGTCTTAAAGGGCATAAATTGATAAAATCTTTAAAAATCAATGTGATCAATTTTCAAAATTCAAAATACTCCTGTATACTTGCACTTCATGCCTACAAAATTTCATCCTTAGTTATTAAAAGCATTCAGAACTACATGAAATTTTATTGCAAAATTTGTGATGAAAAGTTGTTTTTTATTTGACAAAATTATTTTTTATTGGAAAAATAATAGATCCAATATAATATTTTGATAATTTTTGAACATTCAACTTCTTGCTGAATTTTACTACCAGAAAAAACTCTATCTCTATATGGTAATAGTAGGAATGAGTCAGAAAAATTTCAATTTTTGGAAATTCACAGCTGTATTTCTGTATATTCGTATGTATACAAGTTAATAAAAAATTTAATTACTTCAAGTTAAAAAATATAAGTTAAAAAAAAAAAAAAAAGTTTTATATCATGCTGAATCTGAAAATATAATTATTTGCATGATTTTCTAATCTTTGATATTTTGTTGGCCGTTTTCACAATGTCTCTTTTAAGTCACGTTTTTGTGAATTATGCCTTTGTTTCTCATCTGTCAAAGTATTTGCATGCTGTACTTGGCTTATTTTGGTCAACAAATGTCAATGAAAATATTTATTTCAATTTAGAATAATGTAATAGACTAGACAATTAAAAAAAGAAGGGCATGTGCATTTTTCAAAACAATGATTTGGATCTTCAGTTCGAGTGAACCATCAAAATATTGTTATTATTCATTTTTTATCAGTTTATAGTAGAGCTTCTTTTAGATGATGGAATTTTTAATGATTAAAGTTTGTTAAAACATTGTGCATATTAAAGATTATAACAGTTGTACATACATATTATAACACTGTCTGGCAGACATTTTTTTTATTTGAATATGTTATAAAAATAGTTGGTGAGAGAAGTCTTATTGTGCTATTATTTTTTCACACAGTCTAATTTTTCTAATTACAGAATATATTAGTAAAAGTAAGTTATGCAGACCGCTTGTTGACACTCTGCATGCACGCACCCCAGCAAGATACATTGAGAGCTGCAGAACAACAGATGAATTATGTTTTGCTGTTAAAAACAACTTTAGAGCAAATTCCCATTCTTTCTGTAGCTCTGGAAAATGCGGAATCGGAATTTCTTTGCACTGTTCGAGAGGTAATATATAAATATAAGAGAGAGGTAGCAATTGCTAATATGAGAACACTTAAAGTTACTTTTTTTTTTTGTTTTTTATAGGTGATATAGAACTCATTACTTTTGTTTTTTTGATTTTTGTTGTTGTTTTTTAATGTCATATCAACATCTAGGTCATTAGTGACCACTATTGCTTTTAACGGTATGGTAACTGTGAAGATGACATGATATGGTGATGATAGGGGGTGGAAGGATGAACACACATCCATGCCTGTGGCGGGTCTCGAACCTGCTATCCTTTGGTCCGAGATCGCTATGGTACTACTACACTACTTAAAGATCTCAGCCATCCTGACCGGCAGAACTCATACTTATTATCCACCTTTTTCATTGCAAGGCTAAAACATAAAATATCAATTATATTTTCAACTTTTGCATTCAAAATTCAGTTGTGATTTGCAACCTTTTCATCACAAAAATTAAATTCTCACATATATATTTTACATATATATTCCGTCTCCTCCATACTTATCTTAAATTGATTATGTTGTCAGCTTTATAATTGTTCAATTATCATTATCTTTACATTTCACATTACATATGTTTTTCATATTTTATTTCCTAATTTTTTCAATTAACTATTTCTTTATATTCTTTTTATCATATTACTTATCTTCTTTCTATCTATAATGATAAACTTCTTTGTTTGTTCATATTGTCTCCAAATTTTTCAATTAATTTTCTTTATCTATGTGTGGGGTATCAGCTTACTCTCAAATAAGTAGGTACAAATCTTATGGAAATTCTCTACCTCTCTATCTCTTCTTTGGGGCATTTTAAAAATTAATGGAGACATTTTGCTAATGCCCCCATATATCCATGTTTCATTACTAATTTCATCTACTACCCAGACTTTTATTTATTTTCATTTTCCTATCCACATTCTTTGTTTCTTCCTCTTAATTTATTGCATTTACATCTTCCTGACTTTTTTGTAAATAACTTACCTCTCCTTTCATTCTCACAGCCCTGAGGACGATTGTGTTGTGTAAATTTGTTAGATGGTAGCATCTAACATTATATACACAATAATTCCTTCAGGTATTTAAATTTATTCTAATTTCTTTCTCTCATTGGTTATCACCTTCCACACCCCTTAATTTTCTGAACTTGTCTATTTCTTTCAACCATTTCTGATTTTCGTCTCCAATTTTTTATTCAATATAATTCATTATATTTCTTTCTACAACTTTCTTTTTCTGTTATACCAATTTTTCTTCTTCTTCAATCTCTTGACATCTTCCTAAATCATCATCTTCTTCATCTTCCTCTTCTTCTTCCTCTCCCTCAGGCATTAGACCTTCTGATCCATTGCGATTCATTGATCACTCCATCTTCTTTTGGGTCTGCCAATGCTTCTTCTCTCTCGAGGTGTGTAGAAGAGGAGGTGCTTAGGTAATCAATTATTTTCCATCCTTAGTACATGGTTTTTCCATTTCTTTCTATATTCTTCAATTTTGTCATTTAGATTGTAAATTCCAAGGTTCTTCCAGTTGGTCTTGTGGTAAGGCACTGCCATAACTTTGTAAAACTTTAGGATTGTGTCTTGTCTTACTTTACCTCTAAAGGTTCTTTTATTGGTGCCTTACATTAGGTTTAATCTCTCAATCTTTCTTTCAATATCAACTTCTCCACGGTATGATAATCCACATCCTAGAAATCTAAAAGTATTTACTTGTTCTTATCTTCTAAAACAAGCTACGAAGTGAGAACCTCGGAAAACTTTGGACTTGGTTTTGCCAGAAGATATTTACAAATTTGTAAATATGTACAGGGCTGTTTTGTACAATTCGTACAGGGCTATCTGTAGACTGTCTTCATTATCAGCAACTAAAACCTGGTTGTCTGCAAACAACATGGCTTACCCCTTCCCAATTTTTTAAAATTTTGATCTTACATTCCCAGTTCCAACATTATGACCCTCTACCCCCTTTACCATTTTTTGTACCTTTTTTAATCACTACATTTTCTGCAATATATTTCTCTTGATTCTTCATTTATTTTACCACTCCCTTCCTCATTTTAACCTTAAACTCTTGTATACTCTTATCTTTTTCTCTGACCAGGCCTCTCTAATTATTATCTCTTCCTCCTATACAATCTTCTTACTCCTCCATCTTTCCATTAATTCTATTACCAAAGGCTTATGATATGACATTGACATATGTCTCCTACTTTTATGCTTTCATCCCAGACACTGTATGGTTTATCCATATAATCAAAAATCTTCCACTTTAGGGGATTTGTTAAATGGTATCAAGTAAAAGAATTGGTTGTTTAGGATGTTGTGTTTATGATCCTACATTCTCTATTTGAATGAAAATACCGTAACGATAACATACCAGATGGAGGGGGAGGGGTGAACGATGAGCCCCAGGACGGTTTTTATTCCTCTATCATTATTTAGAAGTCACTGTTTCATCTTTAAGGGCATTTATTATTAGAATCTTTATTAACCTTATATTCCATCTTTCAATACTTATCAGATGTTCACAAAACAATTTGAAACCATTGTCAAGCATAATGACTGAAAACTCAGTATTGCAGACAGGCCTGTCCAAAACACAATGAGAGTTGGGAAATCATCCCAAAACAAAGACATAATTAAGAGTTGGGAAATCAAGGTAACATTGTAAATTCATAACAGCACTCTATGTCATCTGTGAGGCAGCATATACAGAAAATATGCAAAATATTATTTTTTGCTCTTACCATTGCTCAAAACCTGAAAATATTTTATCACACACATACAGTAAACAATTGTAATGTATGTATCATTACTTCTTAAATATGTACAATTTTCCTTCAATTATATTGAAATTCATTCTGAGGTCTATTGTTGACACCCCTGTTGGTGTACTTCAGGTACTAGAATGGCATTGATATGCGACTGTTAAATGAAGTATAATACATATTTTCCAAACTTGTGTAAGGTAATCAATATTATTTCATATTCTAAACAAAATATTTACAAGGTAGCAAAATATTTGCAAGGAGTCTTGAGATCTCTTTCTTTGCAAATATAAGTAGAGCTATTAGAGATAACTATATTTTGTTCACTGATAAATCTTTATTTTAATTCACCAGTTTCTAAGAATTTCTCTTCCTTTTTTCATTTTGTCATGGATAGTGGAGAATCTTATTATTTCTTTACCATTATTAAAAGGATCTCTGTTATGCAGGATCTGCAGAATGTATATTTTGATACAATAAGGAAACGCATATCAGAAACCATCCAAGATGATGCCCATATGGCTAAAAACTATGTTACTGCACAGTATCAACGCTGTTTTGCTGTTAAGCCAGGAATAAATGGTTTATTAGATGTTGCAAGAAAAACATATAGTGAACTTATTGAGGACATGATTGGTAATTTCTTAACAGTTTCTCGAGGAGATTGTCTTGTTATAATTTCTGAAACCAATTTCAATTGATTGGATATACATACAAATTGTATTAAGAGAAAAAAATCTAATTATTAATTACTTGTATATTTAAAGTTATTTATTAATTAAAAGTAATCATATTTTTATTTTTTGAAAAACTAATTAAATAAATTAATTTGATATATAATGTGATTATTTGTAAAATACATACATTTCTAATGTAGCCTTTGCAAATGTGTAGATTCACTCCTTCCAAAGAACATTTTTCCATTCCTGCATTTTCTATTGGGGGAAAATATTCAGTAATAATTTTTGTATAAAATAATTTAACATTAGACAATAAAATTTATTTTTTGGGTGATTAATACTTTTAGAAATGGTACAAAAAATTGGTGAATCATGTGGCTTGCCCGTCATTCTTAAATTTAATGCTCTTAGAGGATTCCACATGCAGCTGATATATTCCAATAAAAGGCTATACAAGGAAAGTGACTTGCCATCAAAATTCATTCAGGTAAGAAGTACATCTTTTTTATTACTGTTATTGTACTGTATCTTTCTCTATTTAACATGATTATGGTGATGATCATCAGCAGCAGACCATTAGGAATGATATTTTTTTCTGTGCAGAGTAGAATTAGGTGGTATGAATACTTTTCCAAGTAAGTTAGTGATCTATTTCTTCTTTGATCTTCTTATACTTTTTGTTGTAGCTCTCCTTTCAGTAAACTTCTTTTCTTCAAATTGTTAGAGGGCTGTTCATCGCCTCTTTGTTTTATCTCATCTCATGTACTCTTACTCTTAAATTGGAAGTTCTATTTTGGTAGGTATGTGTACATGTTTGTTCATTGTAATTTTTTTATTGCGTAATTGATCTCAAATTTTCCCTAAACTCGTGAGAAAAAAAAGAGGATAGGTGATCCCAAAATGTCACCCTAAATTTGGTTGAAGCACAAAATGTTATTAATTAGAAATGATGCAATCCAGGAAGCACTGTTTTTAGGTATATGCAGGAGGGGCTGTGTAGGTGAGGGGAGAGGGTTGGGCTGCCAGGCTCTGTAAAAGGTTATTATAATAAATGCCCAATCATTAACTAGTTATTGGTTACCTTGTAATTAGAAATTGTTATCACTCATTTCTCAATATTGTTTTTCACACAGTTAAATAATTGTACAGGTTCAGAAACGAAGAAATTCTCTCACTTTTTCAACTCAAGAATTGATACATGCTGATGAAAGGTGCAGTGATGTAAGGAATGAAATTCAGATGATGAGTAATGTGTAAGTTTCTGTGTTTCAGGCATTATTATTTTTATTATTGTATGTTGAATTTTGTAAATTCAATTGCAACATTTTTACAGAGTGATATTTAAACTGTTGGTTGATATACGTGACCATATTGGATGTCTTTACAAACTATGTGAGAATATAGCATACCTGGACATGTTGGTGTCTTTTGCAAGAGCTAGTGCACTACCAAATTTTGTTATGCCTAAATTCGGTGACACATTAGATGTAAAAGGGTCACATCATCCTATACTAGAATTTATCAACCCTTCTGAACCTGTAGCAAATGACATTGTGAGTATTAAAATAAGGAAGGAACTGGTGGTGCTACAGAATGGCACAGACTTTCCGTATTCGTTTTCTATTTTCTTTCGTTCAGCTAGCTATTCAGACTTACCCAATCCTCTTGCCAGCTGCCATCTACATTATGAAACCTGTGCACACCCAATGTCCATTTTTTTGAAACATTCTTAATTTTTTATTTCCTAGTAGTAGAATGAAATATTATTTTAAGAATATTAGAGAACAGTAAAATCTTGTTCCTGCAATTTTGAAAATGTGGAATTTTCACAGAAACAGTTGAGTTTTTGACAAACTTTATATGACATTATTTAAAGCACACGTACTCATTTATACAATTATGTAAACAAGTTGCTGCTAATATAGATATTGACATGTGAGGCAAGTCAAAAAAATTAAATTTTTGTAATTTTTGAAAAAACGAAAGAATAGAGCAATACAAAGTTTATGTCATCTTATATAGTACATTTCGCACTATTCCTACCAAAAGTTTAAAGAATAAACATTGTTGAGATAATCTTGTTTTTGTAATTTGTTAAATTGCTCACATTGCTCGCAATATTGCACGAAAACTACTACCATTTTCAAAAAATGTCCATGACCTTAATGAATTTACACTATAAAGAATAAATTTTATTTGAAGGAAAAACTCTATTTTCAATTTTGTAGTTGTAGGAAAACACCCGAAAAATTTCAAAATTTTCCAAACTACCTAGTTAACCCTGAAAATTAGACCTATACCACTTTTATAAATGTATCTCTATTCTTACAAGAAATTTAAAGGAAAAACTTGGAGCCTTGTTTGAAAAAATGTAGGAAAAGCCCATGGCCTTTATGTAAAGTATCCCCAAATTTTAAAGAATTTTTTTCAACATTTCAGAGCTTCAACTTGAGTCAGATGGACAGGGGCTTCTTTTATTTGGAAAAAAAAAATCCTACATATGGGTTAGATGCTGCTGGTGTTCACAGATTGACAGACAGAGGGATGTTTTTGAAAAACACACTTTCTCAGTATCAAGGGACCCCAAAACGTGCATTTCCATTGAAACCTTAAAACCGATTTTCCACAGCGTTACATAACTCTTCCTATCCTATGTAGAATACTCTGTATGTACATATGTATACGAGAAAGTAAAAATTGAAATAAAATTAACTAAATTACTTTTATATGTTCACAGTTTTCTTCTGTCCATTCAAATGTTCACATTATTACTGGTCCTAACATGAGTGGAAAGAGTATATATATTAGGCAGGTTGTTCTTCTGCAAATTATGGCACAGGTATGGGAAATAGCAATAATTTTTTCAAGAGAAATTTCACAAATTAACCAGATTTTACTTTCAAGCATTTTTTCCATTAAATATCATATATGAATTAATTTTATAATTATAACAGTTATAATTATATAATTAATATAATAATAATAATAATAATAATAATAATAATAATAATAATATACATAAATAAATAATTAAAATTTTTAATTATAACTTATCAAAAATACTTTTGATATGTTTCTTTTAGATTTATACAAAGTAATGACTAGAACAAGTTTAACCCAACATAGCTGGATTCAGGTGTTTGAGTAGCTATAAATTATTTGGTTGAAAAGTGGAGGGATATTCTCTTAAGAGCACTTCTAAATATTATATTGATTTAGTGAAAAAAGATTCTTAAAATAAAGATTAATTAATGAATAGTGATTTTTTCAAATTTTTGCTCATACCACATTTGAATGTTTATGAATATGCTCAATTCTGCACAGTGACTAGCATTGTTCTTAAAAAAGATGAGGGAATTATTTCATTTTATTCGGTGTGTATATACTTCTTTAAAGAATGTGTCTTAGCCTAGTAATTCAATTCAACAATATACGTCAATATTGAAATGTACAAGATTTTATATTTATGACTGATTCGTTTATTTAAGACTATCAGTAAAGACAATATTGTGGATACTTGAAATATAATTGATTTAGTTCTGATGTTATTTATAGATTTAACTTACCTGAAGATGAGGTGAAAACTAAGCCTCACAAAGTTGTATGTACTCCTATAATGCGAATTAATCTATTATATTTCAAGTATCCAAAGTCTTCCATCTTCACTTATTGTCTTAAATAAAAGGAACTTTTAGGTTCAGTATTTATTCAATTCCTTTGCTCTCAGGTTGTGATTTCGTCTCAGTACAGAGAATGTAACTTCTCAGTATAGTGTGGATTCAAAATTAAGACATTTGAAATGCTTCTGAACTTTGTAAGGAAAAATTTAGTCTTCAAAATTACACAATACCTTATGACCTTATTTGGTTGAAACTCACCTGTTGAATTAACCCTTCTCATTTTTCTCTTTATTTACTTTTGTTTAACTATAAATTAATTTATTCAGCCTCTTTTATTTCATTCCTATTTATTAGATTGACAAAAATGTGATTCTGTATGGTCAAGGTATGGTGTTTCATAACAAAATATTTACTGTCGAATATGCAGAAATACTGTTGGTATCACTGGAAAGTACCAACAGGTCTTTGCTATTTTTAACTTTAATATACATGATTTTAGATTGGTTGTTATGTACCTGCAGTAGATGCCACATTTCGAATTTCTGACCGTATTTTCACAAGAATTGGTTTTGATGACAGCATTGAATGCAATGCTTCAACTTTTGTTCTTGAGGTAAATTTTCATTTTATGTACATGAAACTTTACAATAATCATTATAAATTAGCAGAAAGGGGTTGGGCTGGGTTCAGGTAATGCCTATGAGCTGAAGCTAGTTATGTTTATAGGAAAACGTAATTGTTCTTGAATCACACAAACTATTTCATATTTAAGATGGTAGCATTGACCACAACAAAAGGAGTTTTGGAGATAGTGAATTGACATGTGGACATATTTGAACAGTCAAATTAGTATAATATTAATGAAGACCCTAACTCAATCCATTTCTTCTCTCTAATAAGCTCAGTAATTAATGTTTTATTTTTTAATGTGATTTCTAAGATACGTGAAGTGCAATACATACTACAGACTATGACTCCCTCATCACTCATTATTATGGATGAATTGTGTCGGGGCACATCTAGTGAAGAAGGAACAGCTGTTGCATGGACACTATGTGAAAGCCTATTACAGAGTGATGCTTTTATTTTCCTTACTACTCATTTTATGCTGCTCACGAATTTGGAAAGCATTTACACAAATGTCAAGAAGTAAGAAATTTACTGTCATTGTGCTGCATACCTTGTTGGATCTCAGTAAAAATGTAGTGTTGTAAAACCTGAAACTACATCTAAGAAGTTTTTTTTTTCCTTTCATTTTTTTTCTCCCCTAGAATTGCTACAAAATTTTCTCGCTTCTACAAAAATTGTGTATTGGTATAAAATTTTAATATTTTCACTTCCAGCTACCACTTTGAAATATTGGAGCAAGAGGATAATCCTAATCAATTTTTTTATTCTCATCGTCTTTTGCCTGGTCCTTCTCAATCAAATAATTATGGAATACACTTGGCAGAAATATTAGGAATGCCAGAGTCTATTGCAAAGCAGGCAAGAGAACTGTCAGGAAATATTTTCAGTCAAGAACAGGTACAGTGCATTAATCATCTTTGTATATTGATGACTGTAACTGGAATCAATGATGAGCAAACTTCATGATATTGTAATGTAGGTTTTGATGTGTTGTTCTAATAAAACACTTGAGTATGGGTTAGAAATTAATTCCTGAAATTAATTTTGCTTCATTTCTCAGGAAGCTTTCTCAAATTTTCCAACCAAATTTTCTTACAGCAGATTGAGACAGATCCATAATATTATTTTAATAAAGTGCAAGGAAGAATGTGCATTAATGTGATCAATATTGATAGCACATTTTCATATTACTGCGTGTGTAGGAAATTGGATTCTGTTATTCTGTGGAAAGTGTACATGTACAGTTGGTTCACAATGAATGTTACAAACTTTTAGGTCAGGCAGAGGGGCCACAAATTATCACTATTTACCAGTGATGATGTGTTGGGAAGTCTCAAATAATGAAGTTACAATTGCGACATTTGCCCTTAATGGCAGGTAATTCACCCTGCACCAGGCCTGTGTTAACCCACACGCCTGAAATGTCCAGGCCCAGACCTCCTGATAGTTCTTAAAAATTTATTGAATACTACATTTTTCAAACAATAAAATATAAAAACATATTGAAAAAAGTGATATTTTATTAAACTATATGCAAACAATTGGCATAACGAAGTGATGTGTCACGCTTTATTGGATATAATTAAATATATCCAATAAAGCATGACACTTCACTCTGTTATGCCAATTGTTTGAATATAGTTTAATCAAGTATAATTTTTATTAATTGTTTTTTTTTTGTTTGAAAAATAAAATATAATTTTTAAACAAACTTGTCTTTAAATTGGGGGGGGAGGGGGAGGGGGGGGCAAATTAACACAGGCCCAAGGGCCCCCAAGGTGTTAAAATGACCCTGCCCTGTTTGGTAGGTACATGAAGAGAATCAATGTAGCTGCCAAGACATACTACATAAGTAACTTTGTTTTATGAGGTTTTTCCACCACATGATTCTTGGTAAAATATATCATCTTTAACCCCTTTACGAACATTTATATATTCTGAGACCTTTAAAAGGATTTTGATAAACCTAAAACTAGAAAAGTTGTTTATTTCTTGTAGAATTATTGTTCTTGATGTATTTATTTTTGCATTAATGAGTGCCTTTGGACTCTGCATGCTAGAGATCACTTTTTGTTGCTTTGCGAGCTTCATGAAATCATCTTTACCACTACAAGTAGCAGAAAGTTGGTATGTCAAAAAATAAAAAGGAATTATGTTTTAAAACCATACATTTGAACCAGCTTTCATATTTCAATTTGTTTTAATTTACAGAATTTTTGATAGTAGATTGTAATTTTTTTAGGGGCCAAATTTGGTAAAATTGTAACTCATAATAACTTTGTTTTTTTAGCCAACTATAGAAACTAATGGTAACATCAATGATGACAGATTGTATTTGGAACTTCATTGTGAATTATTGAAAATTTTGAAGCAAGGACCACTTAGCAAGAAAGCATGTTTGGATTTAAAATACAGATTATTTCCTTCTGTGACAACATCTGATGAATTAATAGAAATTGGTGAAATAATACCCTGCTCATCAAATAGAGAAGATCTTCCTATTACGCCTGCTACTTCACAAAAAAATATTCCAATAGATGATATGACTGCACAAGACATATTACCCTCATTACTTTGTAACACATTAAGGAAAGAAAATGTTGAAGTGACAAAAGGAGAATCTTGTAAGAATTTTGTTGACAATGAATATAATTTTTCACATGTAAGTTTTCAGTGTGGAAATATGGAAAGGGATGCTGGAGGCACCCTAAGAAACATTGGAGAGAACATTGAAGAATTGAATGCAGATAATGATTACAATTTTTCAAAAGGTTTTCAATATGATAATACAGAGGGTACTGAAAACTCTTTCCGAGAAGAAAATATTGAAGAGATGAATGAAGGATCAAATAGTGACAATGAGTATAATTTTACAAATGCAGGTTTTGAATTTGATAATGTGAAAGATTTGGAGGCACACATTGAAAGTAATGATTTTTTCCAGTTCCCTTTAGAAGACAGAAGTGATAGTAACGAGAGAACTATCCTTGATGTTCTGAATGATTTGACAGAAGAAAATTAGGGTAAAATTCATATTATTTTCTCCTTCACATTAATTATTATAAATATTTTTTTTAAATACTATAATTGTGAATTCCTACAAAATATTTTTATTTTACGATTGGATACGTTGTTTGAATAGTTTCAAAACTTCCTTTAGTTAAGATTGTTATATTTCAACAAAGATTTTTCTGTGGGTTTATTAAATGGCAATGTATTTCTCAGAAAAGATTATGAGACTTTTTTTTTTGTAACTAAGAAAACATTAATTATGAAAACAGTTGTCAGATACACAAAATATCAGAAATAAAAGAAATTTCTGGTGTGGTTTATAATATATAGGTGTAGTTTTCAATAAATACCTTTTAAACCTATTGTACTTTTTAAAAATTACATCTTGAAAAGTAAATATAATGGAATATATTCCTAGATACAATCAATAAACCAACTCATAATTTTGTTCATTGTCTACATGTCACTGTACAAGATAATAAACGATAAGTGCATGTCGATATTAAATTTGTGATAATATTCATACTATTTGTTAATACTTTATAACATAATGATAAGTCATAGCTTCACCAGTATAATTTTCCGAGGCTAAGTTTAATGATTTTCAGAAATCGACTTTTAATTGAAATCGTATTTAACTTCCTGAATTATGTTCAAACAGCACATACTTTCTTCCAAAAATTACTTAAATTTTCAAAAAATTCAAGGACTCACAAAACAATTCTGGCTACACCAAGTATTAGACAATTTTTTTCTTTCTAAATTCAGCAACTGGATTTATCAATTTTTTTGTAATAAGAGTTTTTTCTGCCAGAAATGTGCTGATTTTTCCTCGCAGTGTTACTTAACTTTCTCTTTACCCTGTAGTGAGAAAGTAAAAATTCATATTTGAAATTGTATTTAGTTTTGAAATTTCAATACGTATGTAATATAAAATCAATTGGTGCACAAAGTGACATATCTAAAACATTGCCAATTTGCTTAAGATGTTTTAATGAGAGCAGGAAGCATTTATTTCTGTCTAAAAAATTGTTTTACTCCACACAATGGCTGACTGGTTTACAATCTGAAGTAAAAATATATTGTTTTCAAATATATCTTCACTGTTACTTTTTTATATACATAGTAAAGAGGAAGTTATATAGGCCTACTGCAGCAAAAATTTTATGGAAATACACATTTTAGGGGGCCGATTCAATTAAAGTACGTTTTTTTCAAAACGTTTGTTTGTCTGTCCATGCACATGATTTTCAAAATATTTTCATGATTTCGAGATATTGAAGGGTGCTCAGAATGAGCATGGTTATCAACACTCATTTCACCTGGTTTAAAGCACACAAAGTCCTCAAAAATTTGGGTGTGACTCACGGCATCCTCCTTAAAAGCCAGTAGAAGACCTTGGTAACGATTGCGATAATGAGCACGTTGCCGATTTCTCAAGAAGAAAACAAAATATCAAACATATTCTTTCTTTCTCCGCTTCTAATAATTAATAAGGAATAAAAATTTGTGATGCAGAATACAAAGCAGGGAACAAATGTACTCCAGTACTTGCTTTAAGTAGAAAACATAAAACATCTTAAAACTATTACATTCTTTAAGACGTAATTGTTAAGGGAAGTATTTCGGACAAAGTAACAAAATTCCACATATATATATGTATTGTCATTCAACTTTTTTTCTTTAAAAGTATGTAGATTCAAGAAACAAATTTCATCATAATAATACATAGTCTAAAATTCTAGTCTTTGTAAGTCTCAATTAAAAAAATGTATTCCCCCCCCCCCCTCCCGCAACCTTTCTAAGAATTCTATTCCACTATGTACGTTATTCCACAGGTTTCAAATTGTGGGATTTGGGCAGAAAGGTAGTAAAAGTAAAAAAAAAAAAATCTAGAGTGCTGAAGTTTTGAAATATATAATTTCATCTTCAGGGCTAGCAAAAAACAACGTATGTAAATACAGGTTCTAAACATAAATACAACATTACAATACTAATATACAATACTGTTTATATATTGTAACAAGTATACCAACCTTACTTTACTAAAGGTATAATACATATCTTTTGCACAACATGTTTGCTGAAAGCAAACTGATCCAGAATAGGCCAAATACAAGAGGGAGCTCACTGCTCACGCATTGGATACACATCAAACAAGCAATTTATATATCAGAAAATTAATTGCATTTAAAAAACTGCAATATTTCACTGCATATACTACTTTTGCTTACAGACTTTGACCCCCCCCCCCAAAAAAACAACAACTAAATTCTTCCAATGATTACATTATTCATAATTTTATACTACCATACACTTCAATGTGTCACTTGTATTCAAATTATGATGTATTTTATCACAATCTTGCAGCATAGTTGGACCTGCTTCTAACTGATAACTGTTGTCCTGCACATTTGTTGCAGGGCGTTGGGAAATGTAGAGAAATGCACTTTTTGACATCATTAGTTTCAAAGCCACCTGTGAACATTAAAGAAACGGCAACTATATTAAAATTTAATATAGTAAGCGATAAGAATTACTCATGAAAGTAATGAAAAGGAAAAACAATAAATCTATTGTACCTACTTGCAAACATTTTGCAATACGAAACGAAAGCTCAATTAATTATTGAAATCGATAGGAATCTTCCAGCTGCAAAACAGTTCCGCGCTCCCATTTTGATATTATCATACCATCCTTATTGATAAGTGAATAATCAATACCATCGTAGATCAACATATTTAACCATGATACATGATATCAATTTCCATAGAAGGTAGTAAGTAGGGTAGGGAAACTTGGCGGTCAAAACGGAGGTAATGATTTTTTGCGCACCTACAACAGATCCGACGTGATCCGAACTAAACGTGTGACGTCATGCAATTCAAAAAGCTGGCAATGTAGGCGGTGTTGTTTTTCGTTACGTGCAGGCTGATAGCTGGTAGGTGCTCTCTTTTTTATCGAATTTTTTCAGCATTTTGTTAGTATGTAGAATGTCGTACATTGTAAGTAGAGGGAATTGTGTGTTGCGATATTTATTTGTCATGTCTAAAACTTTGTTTTCAGTACTTTGGAAGATAATATTAAGAAAACTGGTGCTAGACAAGTGCATCGCTAGGATTTTCCCTACCAGCAGTGGAGGTATTTATAATTCATTTGGAATCTTGTTGCATATTGTCATTGATTATTTCATTTGTGAACATTTATTACACCATGCAAAAATAGGTCTTAAAAATCCGTAAATCCATGTAGTATAACCTAAACCTGAACATGTCATTTATTCTGTTCTATTGTTTAAAAGTATTGTATTTATATTATTTCGTATGGTATTGGACAAGTTTTGTAATTTGTCCATTGTAAATCCATATATCCATTGTTTGCAATACCCTGATATTCTAAATGTCTAATTTCAAATATACATAATTCATTATTGTTTGCATTTCTAGAATAGGTACACCTCTCATTAGTGTATGAATGAAAATGTAATTAATTTTTATTGCTTAGGGTGTACGAGTTATGTTTCCATTCTGGAGGTGATCTTCAAGTTGCAGGTATGATAAACTGGCAAGATATAAACGAATTTGACTCACTAACATTAAAGATGAATTGTATCAAACAGTGTTTCCTACAAGCCCAGCCCTCTTGTCTTCTCAAAGAACATTTCAAGAAAAATCTTATTAAAAAGTGTGCCAGTGAAATCTTTTTTTCCCTTGATGCTGCAAGTGCTGCTAGTCTCGATATTGTAGACAAATATATTATTTCAGCAATATATAATTCAAATAATAACTGCCTTGGTTAGAAAAAACTTGCCTAACAAGCATGGAAATATGTTAATAAATAATCATAACAATTTTGAATGTGAACAATTAAAAAACTTTTGTTTTGGAATGTATAATAAAAGAACCGTGTGGTAATAAATAATATACTCTAAATATCTAACTATTATTTTAAAAAATATTAAGATAGGTATAATACGTTTCAAAGAAAGAGAACGGGCAGCGCGAATTCGAAGAAAAAGAACGGCAGCGCGAATTCGAGGAAAAGGAGCGAGAACGGCATTACGAACTCGAAAGGCTGAAGTTAGCGAATCAGGCCAGAGAGTATATATCAGAGGCGGCAGTCAATGTTAAACGGAAAGCCCTTATTTTCGTGGAGGGGAGAAATTCGAATCTCCCACCCCAACAGAAACAACGAATGACAAAGAGGCAGCCATATTTGACCCCGCCAGCCAATAAGCGTCGAAAGGCAGTAAACCAATTGAAAAGGAGGACGGACGTGAACCGGGCTATTTAAAATACATTATTTAGTAAATTTCCAATATGGCGGACATGGTTATGTACTAAATAAAATGATTTTGACATAAAAAATGAATGCATAAAAAGTAATGTAGAAGTCAGTAATTCTTAAAGGATATGTAATTGTGAGGAAGTGAAGTAAAATTGTAATGATAGGAAGTGAAAATTAAAAAAAGGTATTTTACATAAATGTTTATTTGTAAAATTCGGTACATATACAAAAAAATAACAATGTGCATGAAAAAATCCTGTTATGCTGAAACAAAGGAACAAATTCTGGGCAATCATCATTTGTTGATACTATCATTATACTAAATATCACTGCTGCTAAACAAAACAAAAAATATATAAATTTGTCACATAAATACAACATAGGCCCATGCATACAAGTCAGGATATTTATAATAATATATATATAATATATATATATATATATATATATATAAAAGCATACAATACACAATAGAGATCATCTAAAAATTGAATATAAGACATAAATGATAAATGTAAAATTCAATCTCTGTATAAATACAAATATCATGGAAAGGTAATTAATTTTATACATGGTAGTGTAAGAAGACTAAATTCAAATATCAATAATAATAATAAAAAAAATTCTTCAATAGATTCGTGCCTAGGCTGGGTCAGTCCTTTATATCCAACAACCAGTTTAGGTGCTTTGAAAATGTGCAACAAGAAATTGCAAAAATTATTAGTACTAGTTTATATTGATGTAGATACGTTATATAACTAAAATTAAAAATGCAAACACATACTTAAAATTATATGATTCCTAAAACAAATCTCAAAAATAGTCATGTTGGATTTGTGAATATGTTTAGAAAATAATATATAAATTTCCTAATAACAATCCCAAACTGTTATCCAAAGAGCTAGTATATATGCACAAGGCAAACATGTAAGAAAAATAGTAAGAAATTAAAAATTAACATCCATAACATGAGACAGTTTATCCTGCAAAATGATCTTTATTATATAAAACACAAAACGTCTTCAATTTTGTACATATCTTGTGTAGAAAGTGAAGCTCACCAATTGATTTTCAAGTATGTTTATGACTTATTTACATTGCTATGACCAAATTTCTTCTATTCTTTTTGATTAATGAAATATTGGAGTCTGCAGTTTGGACGTATTCAATTAGTGATAATGCACAAGAAAAATCCATCACAGAATGTGTTCGAAGAAGAGATATTATGTCATACATAAGAATACATATGTGTTATATACATGCATACTTCTTGGTGTTAGAAATAGTGTTATCCATGAAAAGCGATTAATGAAAGAACATACCTGGACTCTTCAAAATTCGGTATTTATGGCTGTCTGTTTATATCACTTACATCCATTACTTAACTCACATATTCTCGTCTCCATTTAAATATAGACTTATATAAATTATTAAAAGATTGTTTTTAGGGATGGCATTGGAGTAATGTAAATCACTCATGAAAAAACTAATTACTATTATAGTGTCACTTCACATCCAAATTTTATTGCACAGCAATACCAAGAAATTACCGAAATTGACGGTATTATATTTCATGTCATCAGTGTTTTCTTCGCTCATATATGCAACATAGAGCTAGCACACATTTTTCTTAGAAACATAGCACATTGGAAGAGGTGAGCTGCAATAACCCTTCCACAGGTTCTGTTCTCTCCTCTCCAGCCAGAGGAGAAGTGTCTGTAACACCAAATGAGGAGGTGTTATTGAGCTTAAAAAAGGAATCATGATTTCACTAAAAATGTGAAAAAAAATTTTTTAGTACTCACCAGGAAATGCGAGGACATTAGACGACATGTTGACCGTGACATTCAGAGAAGGTGGAGCTGGCCCCTGCAATCAAGAAGACATGGGTCTTTGATCTGAATACAAATTGATAATTGGAAAAATGTCTTATTTCTTTTAATAGAGCTAAAAACATAACTTACGCCTGTCTGGTTGGTATGCCTTCTAAAAATGTTCTGAGTGCTTCTTCAATTGAAATTAATGGCTTATTTTACGTGGCTTCTTCTTGCAATAACGAACGCACATCATTCGATATGATAGGTACTGCATTCCACCCTGCTCTTCCTGATGCAGTCAACATTTTGGCATGAAATGTTCCATGCACACATACCTTTGTGTATCAGTGTTTGCAATGGGAAACAGCCAATGTTGGGTCTCCAATTGCCATCAACCAATTCATACATCTATATTATGTAATAATGTTTGTATTACATAAATTGTACTAAATAATAAGAAACAAAATAAGGATTAGATTTCAGGTGTTGTATAAAAATGACTATAAATTGTTTGTTAACAATTGTTAAAACCACAGTTAGGTTAGTTAGCAAAATTAGATGGTTTTTATAAAATAGCCACAGGTTATATGTAAACATACAAAAAATATACATTATTCGAATAATGTTAAACCATTCGTAAGAAATCATGCCATATATTTCATTTCACTTACCGCGTCCAGGATCATTTGGAAAAGAAAATAAACCTTGTCTTTTCCAATTTGTTCTTCTG